TAACACTAGGAGTCCCCTGGCCTGCTGGGCATGACCTGGCTAGTAGGGGGACACCCGTACCGTCTACTCCCATCTGCCCTCTCTGACATTACCTGCTCTGCATCCTCTGTCTATAGGTACTTCCCTGGCCCCCATCCCTCTGGTTTCCAAGTATTTATAATTATCTCAGGTCCCAGGGCTGCTGGCCTAATAACAGACTCCTTTTTAGAAACCACCTTAATTGCTGCTTTTAGGGGACAAGGCCTGCTGTGTCCTTTCCCAGGACTGGGTTAAGCCCCTGCAGCCTGGAAAAACGGTTGTCTTTTCAGCTTCAAGCTAGACAGCAATTGGGCCTTCTGCCTCCAAGACCAGGAGTCTGGTCTGTAAGCTAATAATTTGGGATAAGTGACTGACTCTTGGGTTAGGAATCAGACATCTAGTACTGTAGTGCAGTGGTTCTCAACCAGGGGTACATGTACCCCTGGGGGTACTCAGAAATCTTCTGGAGGGTACATCAACTCATCTAGATATTTGCCTAGTTTTATAACAGGCTACCCAAAAAGCCCTAGTGAAGTCAGTACAAACTAAAATTTCATACAGACAATGACTTGTTTATACTGCTCTATATACCATACACTGAAATGTAAATACAATATTTATATTCCAATTGGTTTATTTTATAATTATAAGGTAAAAATGAAAGTAAGCAAGTGTGCTGTTTTTAAGGGAGGTGAAACTTGGAGGTACACAAGATAAATCAGCCTCCTGAAGTAGCCTGGAAAGGTTGAGAGCCACTGCTGTAGTGTAGCTGCTTTGTTATTTACACTTGATACTCTGTGGGATGCTTGTACTAAGGATACCGTGGCGCATAACAAAGGATGAGGAGCAATGGGAAAGAGAATCATGAAATAGACTAACAGCCACCTCTGGTTTCTGCCTACAGCAGCTTATTTCCAGCAGGGGATTCTGCCGCTGTGCAAGGCTGTGGTTCTCCCTGGTATTTCCACAACAGGCTTAGAAGGAGAATGGGTAGCTAATAAACTATTAATGTGTCCCAGATTCCATTTCTTACTGTTCAGGCCCTTTGATACCATTAGCAACTCCGATGCGTAATCCTACACCTGCTCCAGGGCAGCACTTCCTGCCCGCTGCATCCTATGGGTCCAAAGTAGTGGGGGGCCCTTGCTGAGCGGTAGCAGAGCTTGGGGGCTAGCCTTTCCATTTGGAACAGAAATCGGTGATGTGGAGTCAGGAATTTTCTTAGTATGATTTGCTAATTTACAAAACATGCCCCGGTGCTATATGCAAACTGCCCCTTGGCAACTCCCTTGTGCGGGAGCTTCAGACTAGCCCTGCTGCCCTGTCCCAAGAAGCAGCTACCTCAGGCCTATGTCACTCCAGAATTCAGACCAAACGCCATGCTCCATACCTATTTTCCTCCTCCTACCCTGCACTCTTCCCCTAGGATGCACCTCGGCTCATGGGGACCACATGGCCTGGAGAGGGATAGCTGCTCTGCAACACACAGGAATATTGGAAAGGTCTAACAGTCCAGACAAAGCAGAGTGCTTTAACCCACACAATTCCCCTAATGACCTTTGGATGCAATTATTGCATGGTGTCTTTGTGCTGTGGCATACCCTACAACACAAGATGAGAGCACAAAAGCTGGAGCCAATCTGGAATTATTTACATTGAGTTGTGGGATTTCCTAGGCTTATCCCAGTTCTACCCGCAATCCCCAAAAGGACAGACACATTCTACCTCCTATACCTGGCAGAAGACACCTGACAACAGTGCAGTGGGCTGGGGCACTATGAACCATGGCCTGCATTCCCTAAAATCTTTGCATTTCCCACAATTGGGTGCAGTGCCAGTGTGTGTGCAGCAAGGTATTACCGGAAGCACATGGAACTCAACTGCTCTTTTGCAGCATGCCCAGTTGCGTTCTCTGACGATTGACTCAATGGCAGTAAGTCTGTGGTTAAGATGAACCCTTCAACGGTTGTTCTGGAAAGTTTCACTGGCTCTTTAAGAGCCCTCGTTCCTGTGGAGCATGTCCCTCTGTGGGGCTAAGGGGAGCCAGGCTGCTGAAGATACTTTTTATTTAATGAGGCTTCAGACAGAACCCTTGACAACTTGTGATCATTAAAAATCTCATGGCACACTTGCAAGAGTGTGGGTTTATTAATCCTGAGTCCTTGACACATCCTAGGTAGTTTGATTAATTGTTTTCTGCCTCCCAAAATTCTGCCAGCATTTCAGCTGGACACGGTATTCTTTGCTGTCTTGCATAAGCTGTTGCGTACTGTTATTGTGCACTGTTAAAACTGCTGCTGTATCGCAGCCCCCAACTAGCTGCAGTGAGTCTCCTAGAAACACTTCATAAAATGCTCTAGAAATGTAACTCGCTGGCAGTGGGGTGAAGATAGAGGGGCAAGAGGAAAGGCTGCCAGAAAGGTGGAAATTTAATGGCCTTTTCCCTCATAACTGACATTGCTAGTGCCCTGGCTGAGACTTCTTCCAGAGAACTCTCAGCTGGCTATAGTTCAACAATTGGCTCCAGCCCCTGCATGGTGTGCCCATTTGGTATCAGGCCCACAGATACTGTGTCCTCTCCAGGGCCGGCGCAACCCATTAGGCGACCTAGGTGGTCGCCTAGGGTGCTAATGTTTGGGGGGCAGTGACCGCGGCGGCCAGATCTTCGGCCGCTCCGGTTGTCGTCAGTATTTCGGGGGTGGGACCTTCCGCCGCCTAGGGTGGCAAAAAAGCTGGCAGCGATCCTGGTCCTCTCCTTGCCTTTGTTTTTACAATATGTAAACAGAAGTCTTAGTTTTGGAGTCCGCCGCTGCCATCACCTGAATATTTCTCCACCTACCAGCCACTTTTAATGAGACAAAGACCTATAACCACTAGGCTGGTTATAAAGAACAGAAGGTTTATTATCTCTGGCTTTTAAAAGACCCTGTTTTACATTATCAAAGGGGCCATGTTAAGCATGACCCATCTCTCTAAATGCTGGGATGACAGAATTGCTGTATCACTGCTGTGTAATTTACAACAGACTGTATAATTAGGGGAATGGGACGGGGGCTGCACATAACAGGAGGACTTTGAAATCTCTTAAATAGGATTGCTCTGTGCTCATTTGCTGTAAGTGACCAGCCAGGCTTATGACAGAATGTGACTGGGTCAACAGCCTTTCGATCTGACTTCCAGGAACAAACAGGTAGGCAAAGGTTTTGGTTTATCACTATCAGTGCTAAAAGAACAGGAGTACTTGTGGCACCTTAGAGACTAACAAATTTATTAGAGCATAAACTTTCGTGGGCTACAGGCCACTTCTTCG